GTAATTTTGTGAAGCTACCTGACATGTATTATCATGATGATGGTTATTTCATTCTCCATTTCAATTCTAATGCTGATATGGATGCTGTGATAATGAAGGGTCCATACATAATCAGGAACATGCCACTTTTGCTGAAGGAATAGAGACCGGACTTCAACCTCAAAAGGAATTTATTGCGGACTCTTCCCCTATGAGTGAAGCTACCTCAACTTCCTCTTCATCTATGGAGAGCTAGAAGTTTAAGTAAAATTGGAAGTGCCATTGGTGTCCCTCTGGTCACAAATGAATGTACGACAAGCAAGTTAAGAGTTTCGTATGCTCGAATCCTGGTGGAGGTGGACATCATGAAAGATTTGAAGAAGGAAATCATGATAAAATATGTTGAAGGGAGGAAGATAACCCAATATATGGAATATGAATGGAAACCCTTCTATTGCGAAAAGTGCCAAAAGATGGGTCACCAATGCAAAACAAGGGGAAACAATATGGAGAAACAATGGAAGCCTAAGCCAAAAGCACCCAATAAAAATAAACAAAGTGTGAATGTTATTGCGGTTACACCAGAGAAGCAAACTCAACAGGAAGTAGAAGACCAAGAAGAACAATGGACAAGGGTGACAAAGGCTACTAGAGATAAAGGTAAGAGAGAATTTGTTGCTGGATCAACTTCTGAAGTGAATTCTTTGAATGGTTTTGAGGCATTAGGGGTTTTGAATGACCCTCTAGTGACCTTGGAAAAGGATCCATGTTAGTAGTTTCTTGGAACGTAAGGGGGTTAAATAAATCAGGGAAACTTAGAGAGATTAGCTTTCATCTCTACAAGTTGAAACCTGATATTTTGATTCTAATATAAACTAGAGTTAAGATGGCTAAGGCTAAGATAACAAGAGAGAAACTTAAATTGTATGGCAATTTTATGGATAACTATTAACATCATGGTAATGGTAGAATTTGGATTTCTTAGGATGACACAAGAGTTCCTATCCAAAATTTTTGTAGTTCTGATCAGTTTATCCACTATGGTATCTATGATACTTTAGGTAACTTCAAATTTTGGCTAACTGTTATTTATGCCCATAACCATTTGGAGCGTAGAAGGAAGCTATGAAAGGATTTATAGAAGATTCAGATTAACCAGCAGGGTCCTTGGTGTGCAGTAGGTGATTTTAATAATGTGGCAAAGGCTTAGGACATAATAGGTGGCAGAATGGTGACTGAAGCTGAGTTTACAGATATGCATGACATAATAGGTGGCAGAATGGTGACTGAAGCTGAGTTTACTAGTATGCAGGACATAATGAATTTGACTGGGCTCAATGAGATAAGTGACTATTATACTTGGAGTAATAAGCAGACTACTGGTACTATCTACTCTAGAATTGATAGAGTGCTAGGGAATGTTACTTGGTTTCAAAATAATTTGGATAAGCAGCTGAAAATTCTTCCTCCCAGTGTTTTTGACCATGCTATATTGTGTGTGGAAGAAAAGGTTCAGATGAAGGCAAATAACAAGAGGTTTAAGTTTTACAATTGTATTATGGATATGATTGGCTTTGAGAATATTGTGAGTGTTAGCTAGAGTAAACCTATAGGGGGAAGTCCAATGTATATTCTATGGCAGAAACTCCAAAGACTGAAGCCTGATCTGGTTAAATTTGGCAGGTCCATGTCTAATGTTAAACAACAGGTTGAGAAATCTAGATTGGAGCTAGAGAAAGCTCAAAATGACCTTTTGCAGAATAGAATGTACAATACAATCATTGGTAAGGTGAAATCCTGCACATATAATGTTATTCAGTGGAATGAAGTTAAGGAAAACATCCTTATGCAAAGAGAAAAAATTGACTGGTTGAGAATGGGAGATGGTAACAATGCTTATTACTATGCAACCATCAAAACCAAACATCATATAGGAGCACGATTATGTTACAAAATGTTGATGGAGAAATTCTTACCGAGAAGCAGGATATTCATAATGAATGGATGAATTACTATGGAAACCTTATGGGAAAAGTTGCTACTTCTATACAACATGTTGACATAGAGCCCATGAGGGGTGGTAAACAGTTTACTAGGGAGCAAAGTGAGTCTCTAACTGCTAAAGTTACTAAGGAGGAAATTTTGAGAGCTTTGAGGGGTATAAGGGATATGAAAGCTCATGGCATTGATGGTTATGGGGCCATGTTCTTTAAGGCAAGATGGTACATAACTAAGAAAGATGTTGTGGCTGCTGTTCATGAATTCTTTGAGAAAGGTAACTTGTACAAAGTCTTTAATAGTATAGTAGTAACTCTTATCCCCAAGAATGAAAATGCTAAGACTATTAAAGATTTTAGACCTATAGCTGGCTGTACCACTTTTTATAAGGTCATCTCAAAAATTCTGACAAATAGACTGGGCAAGTTTCTGCAGGATGTCATTCACAAAAGCCAAGCAACTTTTGTTCCTGGTCAGGTTATTCACAACCACATCTTGCTTGCTTTTGAATCGATGAAGGGCTATACTAGAAAGGGTGGGACCCCTAGGTGTATGTTGCAACTGGATTTTCAAAAAGCCTATGATATGGTAGATTGGAAAGCATTAAAGTGCATATTAGATGAAATAGGTTTGCCAAAGAAGTTCATTGGGTGGATCATGATAGTGACTACTACTGTCATTTACAGGTTCAATATAAATGATGAGTACACTGAGATCTTGTAGGCTAGGAGAGGAATTAGACAAGGGGACCCCATATCCCCCTTGTTTTTTGTTATCATGATGAAGTATATGAATATAATTATGAATAAGATACAACTGAATCCCAATTTTAATCATCACAACAAGTATGAGAAGCTTGGCATTACTCATTTGTCATTTGCTGATGATGTGCTTCTTTTTAGTATAGGTGATAAAAAAGTATGTAGAATTGATCTTAGCAACTTTCAATGTGTTTTTTGATTCAACTGGCCTTAGCATCAACCCAAATAAATGCAGGATCTTTTTTGGTGGCATGGATTCTACAACCATCTAAGAAGTGAAGCATATTTTTTGTTTTGTAGAAGGTGAGCTTCCTGTTAGATATCTTGGCATTCCCCTTTCTTGCAAGAAGCTTAGCCTAAATCATTACTTGCCAATGGTGGATAGGATTGTGGGTATAAGTCAACATTGGTCATCTAAATTGCTCAACATAGCAGGTAGGATTCAGCTGGTGAAAAGCATTTCTTTGGCAATTGCTCAGTACTGGATGAGTTGTCTCCCAATTCCAAAAATGGTTCTGCATAAGATTGATGCTATTTGTAGAACATTCATTTGGACTGACCAAGCTGATATCAAGAGAAAAATCCCTGTGGCATGGAATAATGTTTGCAGACCTATTGCCCAAGGTGGATTAGATGTGATTAACTTAGAGATGTGGAATACTGTTACTTTATTGAAGTGTTTGTGGAATATATGTATGAAGTTAGATAATTTGTGGGTAAAGTGGATTCATGTGTACTACTTAAAAAAGGAGAATGTGATGACCACAACAATAAGAAATAATAGTTCATGGATACTGAAAATTATCATGAGCAGCAGGATCTTGTGAATCAGGTCCAGCAGGTTTGACACGACATGATGTTAAAAAAGAAATTCTCAATGAGCAAATTGTACTATCAATTGATGGATAATACCAATAGTGTATATTAGAAACATTTGATAAGGAATAACTATGCTCGTCCGCGCGTAGTGGTCACTTGTTGGCTAGCTTGTCATGGCCGGTTGACAATAAAATCGAGGATAATGAAGATGAGGCTGATTCATAACAGTGTGTGCAACATTTGTAGAGTAGAGAATCAAACCCAAGATCATTTATCATTTGATCGTAGAATTTTGAAGAATATTTGGCAACAAGTGCTTAATTGGATGGACATTAGTCATCAGCCACTTGATTGGAAGGAAGAACTTGGTTGGATTTTGCGAAACACTAAAGGTAAAGGTGGGAGAGCTGGTATCCTTAAGATGGCTACTATAGAGACTATATATGGAGTTTGACACTATAGGAATGTGGTGATCTTTGACAACAATAGAGATGCCACGAATATTACTAGAAACGTTATAGATTGTATTGTGTATAGAGGGTGGCAAAATCTTAAGTATATGACCCATATAGCAAAATACTTGATGTGATTTATTTTTTTTCCGTCTTTTTTGTCCGGCTGGATCTTAGCGATCGCCATGTATAGTGTTGGTTTTTGAAATATATAATCTTTTATTTCAAAAAATAAAAATCGATCATTTTTATCATTTTTTTCTTACAAACAAATAAGTCATTTAAATTGGTGACAGTAATTAATTATCCATAAACATAACGAAGATGATTAATATACAATTTGTTTTCTGAAGTTTCAATATATTATATTAATTTTTTATTAATAAAAAAGAATTAATATCACTTTTAAAAAGAAAATAAAATTTAATTTATGAATATTTTAACAAAATTTGATTTTTTTTTAAAAAAATATATAGAAACATTGAAATATTACTTACTCACAAAGTTTCTTAAAAATAAAATACATAACTTCCATCAAAAACCTTCTTTTTTATTTTTGAATCTTTTTCTAGCATTGTATTGTTTTTGTTTTTTTGGTCAATCACAATTATTATTCTATCTCATTTACAACTAACTACACTTACCATTTTTTAAATCATCATTTAACTCTTTCACACTCTTTCATTCAAGTCTTTAACTTTACAATAATAATAATAATAATAATAATAATAGTAATACTAACGATAATATTAATAGCTTTTACATTTCTTCATCAAACTATCAAACTTTGTCTTTTCTCTTTTCATTTTCCACATTCTCTGCACACATTTCTTCAAAATCCTCATCAGGGTCATTTCATTTTTCATTTTTTTCATAGATTCTGATCAAAAGCTTATGTTTTTGACTTAATCAATCTCAAACAGTCATTAAAAAAATCACTTTTTTTTTGTTGGCTCTTAGTTACAAGAGTTGAATTTGAGATTCTGAAAAAATGGGTTGTTTACTAAGTAAAGATAAAGATTCAGAACAAGAACACAACAATGGTTATAGATATGCTGAATCTTCTGGTCAACACAATCATAGGAACAACCATGAACAAGTCAACCATTCAAGAACACCTCATCAACCTGAAAAACAATCTGCATCATCTCATATGATTCCTCAGATACCATTGAAGCCATCATCAGTTTCTGCTCCAAGTCCAAAACCTTTGATTAAGCAAGAAACAAACACAATTCTAGGAAAAGGTTTTGAAGATGTGAGAGAGTTCTACACACTTGGAAAAGAACTGGGTAGAGGGCAATTTGGAGTAACATATCTATGTACTGAGAATTCAACTAGGCTGCTTTACGCTTGTAAGTCAATTTCGAAGCGGAAGCTTGTGAGCAAATCTGATAGAGAAGATATAAAGAGAGAGATTCAGATTATGCAGCATTTGAGTGGTCAACCAAATATTGTTGAGTTTAAAGGAGCTTATGAGGATAAGAATTCAGTTCATGTTGTTATGGAACTTTGTGCTGGTGGTGAACTTTTTGATAGGATTATTGCTAAAGGACATTATAGTGAAAAAGCTGCTGCTATTATATGTAGACAGATTGTTAATGTTGTTCATATTTGTCATTTTATGGGGGTTATGCATAGGGATCTGAAGCCAGAGAATTTCTTGTTGTCTAGTAAAGATGAAAGTGCTCTTCTTAAGGCTACTGATTTTGGTTTGTCTGTTTTTATTGAAGAAGGTAAAGTTTTTTTATCCATTCATTTGTCTTTTTTGGTTTTGGATTATCCTCTTGCAGTTAGTTATGTTTCTTACGATTTGGTCAGGGATTCTATCGATCCCTGACCGATACGTATGACGGATTAGTCTATGCAGTTGCACGAGATACCTTAGTTCTGGTAGATTTGTTGACCATATTTGTTATTAGTAGCTTTGTTTTGTATGAACCTGGCTTGGAATCCCGGATCGATATGTATGACGGATTAGTCTATGCAGTTGCACGAGATATTTTAGTTCTGGTTGATTTGTTAGCTATATTTGTTATTGGTAGCTTTGTTTGGTCAGAAGCTGGTTTGGATTTAAGTTGGAATTAACTTCTGCCAGTTAATTTAACAGTAGCTTCATATCATTTTTTTGTTCTCCCCATGTGTATGAAATTATGACATCTTTTATATCAAATCTGAACTATGAACACCAATGAACTATATTAATATTAGTATGGATATGGAAATTTACACCTTAAATGTGATGGGCCATCTTGCATTTATGAAGGATTAATCAGACTTTTTCTTGGTTAATATGTAGACGAAGCGGTAACAACTGCTAAAAACTCACACACAAGTGTGAGGTCCAGCGTTCGAACTTGGTTTGTGTCCGACCTAATAATATCGGTGTCAGTTGAAATAGGATTTGCAGACAACCAGATACTATTTACTGATTATGTAAATAAAAGTAACATTATGTACCTAAATTTCTCGAAATTAATGCTTTGCAGGAAAGGTATATCGCGATATAGTTGGAAGTGCTTATTACGTTGCTCCAGAAGTTCTTCGACGCAGATGCGGAAAGGAAATAGATATATGGAGTGCAGGAGTAATACTATATATCTTACTTAGTGGTGTTCCTCCATTTTGGGCTGGTAAGTAAAACTATGATTATGAATTTCATACAATAGAACAACTTAAAATTTAAATCTTGTTTTTCAGGCTTGTCTGATATTTTGATCACATATTTTTCTACAGAAACCGAAAAGGGAATATTTGATGCGATATTAGAAGGTCATATCGACTTTGAAAGTGAACCGTGGCCTAAAATATCAAACAGCGCCAAGGATCTTGTTCGCAAAATGCTTATACAGGATCCGAAGAAACGCATCACTTCCGCGCAGGTTCTAGGTGTGTAAATTCTCATATGAATTTTCTTGGTTAGTTGATTTTATTTTCTTCGCTAACTGATTCATATGTTGCATGAATGATTAGAGCATCCATGGATTAAAGATGGAAATGCTTCTGATAAACCAATAGACAGTGCGGTTCTTTCTCGAATGAAGCAATTCCGAGCTATGAATAAACTAAAGAAACTTGCATTGAAGGTATTCCTCTTAGGCCCTGTTTGGACTAACATACTAATTAAGCACTTTTAACATAAACTTTTATAATATTCTTTAAGGTCATTGCTGAGAATATGTCGGAAGACGAGATCCGAGGTTTGAAGTCGATGTTTACGAATATGGACACAGACAACAGTGGTACAATCACCTATGAAGAACTTAAAGCAGGATTGCAAAGACTTGGCTCAAAGCTATCAGAAGCTGAAGTTAAGCAACTTATGGAAGCTGTAAGCAATTCTTAAGTTTTGTCCACTATATTTTCTTTCGTTCTTTTCGAAAGCTTTCTTAACATGCATTCCCTGGCATAAAATGTAGGCTGATGTAGATGGAAATGGCACAATTGATTGCATTGAGTTCATCACTGCTACAATGCACAGACACAAGTTAGAAAGAGATGATCATCTTTCCAAGGCCTTCCAATATTTTGATAAAGACAGCAGCGGGTAAGTTCTTCATTTTTTATTCTTCTCCATTGTAATTACTTTCTACATTAGTTTTTACCTATGTTCAGTCTAGTCAAGATCAAGTGCTGAATTGTAAGATCGTTTGATCTTATCTGTCAAGGATGCCCGAGAGTGTTATGATCAGACAAAAATTACAGTAAGGTCAAGATCGAGCTTTTTGAAGCATGATCATAAAAAAACGTGTTGGGCCTTTTTTTTTTCCAGGTCTGAATTATAATTTTCATGTTTTTGTGTGTGTGTCTATATAAATATATATGAATTTAACATTTTCCCCTTAGGTAAAATCTTACGTGTCATTCTAACGATATGAGTTTTATGATCTTTCACAAGCCAATCGTTACTACTTAGATCTCGTGCTTGACTATGTTGCCTATGTCAATGTTCCGACCTCACCGACTATGTAGCACCGACATCTTTGAAAAAATGGGTGTCAGAGTGTCCGTGTCAGCACTGACAGGACACCGACACTTGTGATTACATTTACCGGTGTCAATGTGTCAGTGTCATGTTGTGTGTATGTTGTCTGTCACCAAAGACTCATTCATATTGATGAAGAGTCTAATTGATCTCAACGTAGGTTTATTACAAGAGATGAACTGGAAACTGCCATGAAAGAATATGGAATGGGAGATGATGCCACAATCAAGGAAATCATATCTGAAGTTGATACTATCATATCTGAAGTTGACACAGATCATGTAAGACTATTTTATTATGAGTCATTACACGTTTCTCTTCAATTTCAATAGTTTAATCCTCAGTTTTGTGGTTCCACAGGATGGTAGAATCAACTATGACGAGTTCTGTGCAATGATGAGAAGTGGAAACCAGCAACAAGTTAAGATATTCTAAAATACTTCTGAGAAGTGCTTCTGAAATATCATATAAATTGATAGACATGTAAAGTTTTTGATTTTGGAATTGTTTTTTTTTTGTTGAGTTATTGTGTTCCATATGAATGTTTTTGGTTAACTCTCTTCAGATTTGGCTTGGACATGAATTATAAACTCATATAGCAAAGTTAATACCTCAATAAGATTAGACAAGTTTTTGCACTTGAAATCATCGCTTTCTGTTTTTTATTGAGAATATAATGCAAAAAGATTGGATATTGATTGTGACATATAGCAAATATAGTATAACTCTAATTTATTATATGATCATCACTACAATATGCCACATCAAAATACAAGGAGTTAAATAGGTTGGATTCTGAAAATGACTATGGCACTATAGGAACATTGAAAGTGAGATTTGTGTTTGCAATAGGTTCTCTAGTTTGAAGGATAAATTAAATATCTATCCAATTTAGGGGCAGTTTATTTTGACTTTTTTTTGAAATGATTTTTATAGTGTAGTATAATTTTGTGAAAAAAAAATTTACAAATAAATTTTTTATAAAAGTTTCAAATAAAAATTTAGTTTGAATAGTTATTCTTAAAATGTTATTTTAGATATTTTATCATTTTATTGAGAAAAATTTTGGATATCAAAATTTTAAAAATTCACTTAATTTTAAAGGTATTTCAAATAACTTTTCATAAAAATTATTTTTGAGATATAATTTTTTAAAATATTATAATTTCGACTATGCTTTGATCTTCAATAATATATATTTAAGCTCTACGATGTTGAATTTAATCTTACAATTTAAAAAAAAATGAATATAAAAAAAATTATAATATTTTTAAAAACGATTTTACAAAATCCATTTTTAAAAATACAAAAATTTTTTTTTTCTTAAATTTAAAACAAAGGACCCTCATGATAATTCATAAAAAATCCAAATTATGCTTGCAAGTCCACCCAAGTCAATTTTTATGCTTTGTTTTTTTCATCGTATCTTTTAATTGAAAACCAATAAATTGATGGATGTAAATGAATTATTTAAACTCAAATGGTTGCAAAATTGGTAACTATGAAGCTTTTACGATGATATTTTACAATAGATACATCACTATTGATAATAATTAAAAAAGAAAGATAAAATACAATTTTTTATTTTTTAACTTTATTTCGAGATTTATTTTGGTCTTTTAATTTTAAAAGAGACCAAATTAATCATTTAATTGTTTAAATAATGTCACGTTAGTCCTTTTCATTTGTCTCGTTAGTCAAAGTCAATTTAAGTGTACAAGTGACACACATATGTCGCTAATGTCGAAGGTAGGCTACCTAAAAAAGAAAGTGAAGAGTTTTTCTTCAAAATCCACATGCAGAGCACATTTGAAGGAACTCTGGAAGAGCCATTGACGAGTGCATTGATTACCATAGTAGGCAAAAATGTTGCTTGAAGGTGAAATTGAAGACACCATTGTTAACTAGAGGTATGTTTGACATGATTTTTCTGCAACTTTTAAATGTTAACATTAACCAGTGTTGTTCTTACATTAACTAATACAAGCTTAAAACATTATGCCATTTAAACTGATACAAACAAATTTCAACTAATTCAATCTCATAGATTTATTACAACATCCTAAATACCAACACACATAAAACAATACAGAACATGCTCTTCCAAAATTTTTCCCATTTCACAATCTTCTTCATTTGAATTTTTAGTTCCCTAAATTGTAACTTCAGTCCCTCATTTTTAGCCTTAAGATTCTCTACCTCCATTTTTGTTGCATTAAATTTGTTTGCTAGCTTCTCCAACCTACTTTTTTACTTCTTCATAAATTGGCCTTTCTCATCTACCACATCCTCGTAGAACCAATAAAAAAAATCCACAACCAACTTGCGTAGAATATGAAAAATGGTCTATATCAGAATACACTACGAAGAAGAAGACTTTCAAATTCATTCTTACCTTAAAATGTCGACATCCCCAAAATTGTTTTCCAAAGTTCGTAACAATGGATACCCCACAAAGAACATCCATGTCTCCACAATGACATATGGGTTTCCATTCAGAGATTTGAGTCTGTGTATTAATTAGAATCAAAATTTACAAAGCTCTTCTAATTAGATTGGTTTGATCAACACCCTGAATTCATTATTGATGGTTACTTCAATTTCCACGATTAATTTTAATGTAAACCTTTGTCAAATGAGGAACCCTCAGGATGGAACAATGAAGATGATATATCAAAGCCACGTCAACTACTACACATACGTAAACAAATTTCGTGTAAGTCAAATGGACGGAAAGGACTTCTGTGACACTATTTAAACAATTAAAGGATCAACTTGACCTCTTTTAAAACGAAGGAGCCAAAATGAATCCTGAAGTAAAGATAAATAACCCAAAAAAATATTTTACCTAAAAATATATATATAATTAAGTGTAGTAACACATTGACATGTGCCAAACATTAGAGACAATTTCAAAATAAAAAATGTAAATACTTCAAAAAAAACAGTCAAGTTTAATGTTCAGTTTGCCTATGCCATATGGGGCGAACCTAAAAAACAACCTTGTAAAAAAATACAAGTTCTATTTGATTTATGAAGATTCACTTATTTTCATTCTTCATTAGAATTAGTAAACAATTATACTGACGTGCGCATGTGTGCATGCGTGAACAATGATTCAAGACTTCAATAAGTTTGAAGTGAAAAAATTGAGGTTCCAAATAGGAAATTCATTGAGAAATTGGTTCTCACCCCATGTTATTTATTATTTTTATTTAGGAACAGGATTTAGGGATCGACAATACAAAGAAACTCAAGAATCAAAGATAGACAATTAGATATTATGTATTAGGTTTTAAAAGTGGATTGTTAATCTTGTAACTCTAGTTATATATTTTATTATTTTCTCTATAATGTGTTCTTATCAGTTCAAATTCTAGAGGACCCCTATGAATATTATTATGATTAACAATGTGTAATAACTTCTAAATAATTGTATGATGTTACATAATCTCTTGTGGATGGAGTCTCCATCTTGATGATGAAATCACATTTATTTGGGTTAGCTTCAATCCCCCTTTTTAGTGAGGTTAAATCCAAGGAATTTGTCAACCTTGATCCCAAACATACAATTATTCAAATTCACCTCATGCTGAATTGGCGTAATTGGTGGTAAAGTTGATTTCATGTAGATTTTCCTCTCCAAAATTTACTATCATGTCATCCATGTAGACTTCTAACGTGTTGCACTTGCATTTTTTAAACCAAATGACATGTCGTTGTACATTTATCTAGTACGTTATGCCATAAACATTGTCTTATTATGGTCCATCTCATAATTGAAGATCAACTTGTACTATAATTAGGCGTCCATGAAGAACAATAACTTGTACCAGGATGAATTCCCCACCAATGTGTATATGTTGGAAAGGGGATACAAAATTTAGGGCACACTATGTTTAGGTCTGTATAGTCGACGCACATGCTCTATTTACCAGTGTCCTTCTTGACCAACACCACATTGGATAACCATTATGTGTAGTACAATTACGACAAAAGTTTTCTTGTATAAGCCTGGCCATGGTACTCATGGTGGATTCATATTTTTATGGGGATTGACACAATCTTCTTTGTGTGATGTACTTGAAGAATGATATATGTTTAGCTATTGGCATGCTACACTGGGGGAGCATGAAAACAAATCTCTGTTGCCCTTGAGGTATTTAACGAGTCTATCTTTCATGGAGTTATGGATATTTCCATAATTCACACGTTACATGCTGGATTGTCTTAGAGTTGGATGTACATGAAGTTGACGTATGGGACAGGATTTGGATCCTCATCTTGGCTTTGACTATGAAAGGTCTCTCTAAGACACACTATTTCTAGGACATATCTTACTCTAGATATGCATCACATTTTGAAATGTTGACATCTAAGGGGCGTTGTTTATAAGAATTGACCTTCTTCATCTTCCTTTTCCTGAACGATAACCGAATCTAGGTTTCTGTATAGAGATTTGTGGAAGCACCAAGCTCCCTAAAAGCTTGCACACTTTGTCATCACTTCGTCTCTAGAGTTATAATATTTCATCTTGAGATGCACAATAGAAGGTATTTTTCGTGGAGTTTCGCTCATACAAGAAGCTTTCCATGGAGAGTCCATGAGTCTCTTACTGTCCCTCACTCTAGCATCTTCTTTGGTGTATCTACCAATATTCCCCTTCTTTAAGAAGCATATACAACAGCCATGATCACATATAAAATGAAGATAGACATGTCATAAGCAACATAACGCAAATAGAAATGCAACACAAGCATTCAACAACTAACAATTAAGTGATCAAACATGTAAATCAAGGTATGAACTAACAATCATAAATAATGCATGAACAAGTAATCAAAATTCTAATGCACATAATTAGAAATACGCATTCAAAAGACTTAAATGTAAGTGAGAGCAATCAAAGTCATAACCTAGAGATGAGTGAGTGAGATATGAAGGAAATAAGCAAACCAACGCATAACTCTAGAACAAATACGTTGAATAATACAAGGGTTAGAAACATCCCATTGTAGGTTGGTAAAAGCTACAGTTTTCTACAAAGATTGTCAGTGAAATAAAAAAAAATAATATATATATATATATATATATATATATATATATATATATATATATATATATATATATATATATATATATATATATATATATATATATATATATATATATATATATATATATATATATATATATATATATATATATATATATATAACAAACAAAACTAAAAACCAAATCCTCGTTTTACTTAAAGAAGAGTCTAGGACTCCCAAGTCCCTATAAATCTCGTGGAACGATTCCGATGACAATGGTTTTGTAAAAACTTCAGCTAGATTACTTTTGGTGTTAATGTACTAAAAAACAACACCTCATTTATCCACATGATATCTTAAGAAATTGTGTCAGATCTCAATGTGTTTAGTATGTGAGTG